ATAATTGCAGCAACCCATTTAATAGTTTCATAGCATAAAAATCAGTCTGTAGTCTCTATGAACCAGCTTAGCAAACCTGCACTGCAAACTGTGCTTTTATATTGCGTATGATACTGCCCTGTAGTCGATGGAAGACTGCTACTGGTAGGGTTGAAACACTGATAGTAAATGGTTTGTTGTGCTTGCTGATACACGGCTCAAGGAAACAGTTAATAAGATGACGATAAATCCTTTATTTATTCACGTGCATCAATGCCGCACAGCAGCTCATCATCACCTTAGTCCACGGTTTCACGAAAATACTGAATGTTCAAATAGGTGTAGAAAGAAGTGTTGAGTCGCTACCTGTTTGAATGATTGTTAATTGGGTCAATAATTGACCACCCTGATGAAGATGCCACTGTGCGGCATTGACACCTATCAGCAAACCACTATCTCCCTCTCTATCTGTTTAAACCGTTGATTATCAGTCATATCGCAATAAACACTGAGCCAAGATTCCTTTGCACAAAATGAATACACGTTATTAACACGGTAATGAAGGATTGGCTAAGTAAAGTAACAACTGACGTCATTATGGCTATCCTATATGAGCAGGATATCCTAATGCGTACGTAGATGTCGACGGTTGCGCAAAAAGTTAGAAGTTCCATTTGTACGCAGCGAAAAAATATGGATTTCACAAAGCAATGGCTTTGCCCTTCCCCGTGAACTGAAAGCACTAGTCACTAGATACAAGCAAATCTCACGCAAAGTGGCAAAAACGATTAACTTCTGATGATGTACTTTTCAATGATTGCAGATAAAAAATAAAACAGCTCAGGTAATGCAACATGAAATGTTCCACTTTTCTAGATTTATTCGGTTTAAGAAGCAATACTTTGCAAACGAACATTCTCTTCTCTCCAAATATGTTCGAACAAAAAACTTTCGTTTTTAGTTATTTTAACTATTGATACTGAGCAATGATTTTTAAAGTAAATGAATACCTTTCGGTACGCGGTTCACGTAAACATCCAACAGCCTCACAAAGAGCACCACTAACACAGGTTCGCTGCATCTCTAAAATAATCATGTTACACCAGGTGACGAAGAACAGACACAATAAATATGACGCTTTGATAGCACACGCGGTTGCTGCGCACATGCAACATGCCTTCTAAAGTGGAAACGATGTCTTAAGGTATTTCCTAACATTTCAAGATTGGCACATCGCATGCAAATAAAAAGTGAATTGATCTTTTGCACTATACGGAAATAGAGAATGGTTTTAGAGTTCAAACTTTGGTATCGATAGCCATATCCGAAGAAGCCAAGTTGACTACATTTGTTTCACCACAATGACCATGATGCGACGGGAATCTAGGATGTGTTTTACTGTTTGTACCGCACTACATTCCTAATGTGGTGAATCCTTCACATACTTTTCATTGAGGAATTATACGGAATTATATCCTTTGTGAATATTCCTTAGTGTGTTTCACTGTGGCAGCGATAAACAGAATCGTCTGGCCTCTTTTTTTATCTTCAATGAGGTTTTACTATGAAAATTCGAATGTAGTTTAAAGTCAATGAAAGTGTGACGCAGCAGAAGAGCAGGAATCGTTAGCACTGACTGTTCGACGAAAGGCGATCAAATAATCAAAGCAAGAGTAATTCGTCCGTAACTTGTTTCTACTCTGACTGATGTCTAAGATCCATACTTTCCCTCAGCCTTCCCAAAATGGCACAAGCGAATCGTCTCCCAAACGTTAACTTAGCACGACATTACAGTAGCTGAAAAAATCGGTCTTCCAATCCTTTAAGAATAGACGCAATGACTTCACATTTCCATTCTTTTAAAAAATATGTTAAAGTCCATATTTAAATGGAGTTGAATTTTTCTACTACTCTCGGGAGGATTTGATCTGAGTATTCAGACAAACGTTACTGAAATCCTTCTCTCATCGAGGAATCTGCAGCAGTCTTTAGTGTTGGCACAACGTTTGGAATACAGAATAACCTGTAAAGCAGTTGTTAAGGAGCTGTTAGCAATGCTCAGTTAACCTCACGACGAAATTCTGTTATGTACTAACGGCTCACTTTTGACACTGTTGACCAAATTTTCCTTCGACATCGTTCAAAAAATGAAAACGATGTACAGAGGATTCAGGTAACACTTCAAATGCCTAGCTAAACATTTCCAAATAGACTGACGATACAGTATAGTCGAAACTCGTTGAATGACCCAAACAAGCGAAATTGTCAGTCTTACTCTAAAATAATGCACAAACGATGTGACTTTATGAACTCCTCATCATCTAAGAGCCTGTTGCGCTGTCATCGAATTGATTTTTGTACGGCAGCAACGCAACTGACAAGATGACTTCGAGCCTCCAAACCAGCAGTTATATGATTAATTCCACTGACCATTCTCAACGATCTCCATTCAATTAACTTAATTACACCATTACAAATAACGAAGTTGACTGACCATATATTATGAATTCGTTGCATGCCGATGAAAGTGAAAACTTGACTCTTCAAATTCAATATGAGTTTCTGATCTATAGAAGCCTCTAATGACGCAATGTACCTACTGTACAAAAAAAGATTAACTGTTAAAATCGGTCAATGTAACCACAAATCCATATTAAATTTAAAAAAGTCCATACGCCACTGGATAGTTAAGTCATTAAGTCACTACCACTCACAATCAGCTATTCCCCTGATTTTCTTTGCATAAACTATTACCTATTAGAAAAGCTCAATACGATTAAACATCTGATCAATTTCTACCCTTAAATAGTACAGTCAATTACAGTGCACGATTATTCAATCAGACAACGTTACACAAACACTAACTGAAGGAAATAATAGAATAAATAGTTCATCGTTCTTTGATATTTACCTCAAGGCAATTCAGGATCTTTTCCAACAGCGGACTGTCTGCATCGTCCAGCTCCTGCCAAAGCGAGTTACCGACGACGAACGAATCGTTGCAGCCGTCTTCGCATCGCTTCAGCAGCTTCAGTGCCAACTCGCAGCATTCGTCCTTATTAGGTTGGTCCTCGAGACATGTTTTGCACAAGCTGTAACATAGCTGGACGACAGACACGGACTTCTCGCGGACCATTGTGCCCTACAGCAAAAAAAAGTTAGGCGAAACAAATAATACCTAGTGGAAATAAGCTGAACAGATGTGCAGTAATAGTCAGGCGAATGAAAACCAGAAGGTGTTTCAATTAACCTGGCAGCGTTACAAAGCATCAGGACGTTAATGAAAATGTTCAGTGGCTGAAGATGAATAGTAAGGTTAGATGGAGATGCCAAGATTACTGAGCACACTCCTCACAGCCAAAACAGGTTCTGGATATCAGTTACCCTGCATCTTTGAACTAAACCAGGCGTTCAGAGAAACATGACTAACATACTGCCAGTAAACTGCGGTGCCGGAAACAACAAAAGTGTCTTGCTGCCTAGATGAGCATAAAAACGAGTAATACTCTGCACTGCGATATAAGTCAGATTTTCTACCTCTACGTTTCTTACTTCTATTCTAGGGCTACAATTCAAATCGCATCAAGACAGTATTTTCTATCATCCATTAACAACCGTTCGCATTTATCATTGGCCTGCTTAATGAGGCGACACTTTCTGTTCAAAAGATATACTATATTATGAAGAAATATTTTTTTGAACAATTACACAAACGGTGACTCACTGACCTCCCAATCGTCGTGAGCGTCAGCATCTACAAGGAATGATGAAAAGCAGCAAATTTGGTAAACATGTCATGTCAGATAAAACTGCTTTTCATGAACTGTCACTGCTTCAAGATTCAGGTCAGTTGATCGAAAAGATCGGGTAAGCAACACATGGACAAATAATGCATTAATTAGTGCCGTCCTGCTTACTGTGCATACTTTCAAAGACTGTTATATCACCTGTATAATGAGTGATAGTGTAATAATGTAATAGTACAAGTAGAGGGAGCGGAAAAGAAAAATCGCATTGACTTCAACCCGTTTTTCATCAACTGTTCAGAGGGTACATAGATGAAGAATGACGATGTCCGTAATCCACCCGTTTGAGTTTACTAGCGGGTTAACCTTCGAGTACAAAGAATTTTCATAGAAAATATGAACAACACTGTTGACCCAACTAACCAGAGTTTGGTTAGGCAACTGTTGAAGCAATCATACAAGCCTAAACGAAAAAAGGTAAGAAAAAAGTGCAAGAGGAAGAGAAAGAGGAAACAAAGAGGAAGGGAAGAAAACGAAAGATAGATGAATGCAAAAAAAGATCAAAAGGATGAAGAGCAAGATGAAGAGAACACAACAAACAAAAGAGATCGAAGAGGAAAACGAAGGAAACGGAAAAACAACAAAATAAAGAATATAAAAACCGAAGAACAGAGAACTGGCAAAAAGAGATGGAAGAAAAAGAAGAGGATGACGATAAATAACAAGCGCAAAATCAGAGCAAAAAGAAGGATGAAGTGAAAAACGGAGCGAAGAAAAGTAAAACAAAAATAGGCAGAAGAAGTACAGAAAAACGGAAAACCAGAAAGTATAGGAAGAATAAATAGATAAACAAGAAGAGGAAGAAGAAGAACATGAACTAGTGGGAGTGGAAGATGGAACGGGTGGAAAAGAGCAAGAACGGTAAGTTGGGGGAGAAAAAGGAAAGCGGACGTAAACAACTGCACGAATAAGGAGTGATAGTAGGTTTAAGCAAAAGAAATATGAGCAGAAAAGTTCCACGAAGATAAACACGAAGATGGATGGGGAGGACAAGAACAAGGAATAATGGGACAAATAAGAGGATGTGTCGAAAATTAGAAGGAAGTAAAAGATGAAAATCGTGGGAAGTAAAAATAATATAATATGAAAATCGAAGAACCAGAAAAGGAGAAAAGGAAAGCAAAATATGGAAAAAAACACCAGAGAAAGGAAGAAAATGCGAAAAAGTAAAGGATAAAGGAAACGACGAAAAACGGAAAGAAGAAAACAAGGAAGAAAATGAAAAGAAAAAATAGATGTCGATAATGAAGAACAGAACAAACAAAATGAGCAAGAGCAATAAGCGAAAACAGAAACAGAACGGAGAGATGAAGTTAATGAAGGGCAGGGACAAGAGAAGGAAAGTCAAATGGAATCTGAAAATAGAAAAGAAGAAAACGAAGAGGAGAAAGCCTAACTGAAGTGAGAAGATAAAGAAGAAAAGAAATAACAGGAAGAATAAAAGAGTAGGTATGGAAAAATGATTCAGCCGCATTTAATCTTGTCAAGCGATTTCATAATTTCCTTAAGGACGCCGAAGTCGGTGTCTGAATTAAAGAAATGTGCAACCACTTTGTGGCATCGCTTACTTCAAAAGCAGACCATGATTAAACCTATCAAAACCCGGGTGGAATGTTTCACATGAAAATGAAGATAGACGTGATGTTCACAAAGTAGCTGTCACATGATCTTCATTATTCTTTAACAAATTTTGCTTGTTCATTTCGAAGAGCGAACGAAAAGAGCAGCATGACGTGAGAAACAGCGACCCTTTATACGAAGTCTAGAGAAAATATTGAAAAATCAATGAATCTATCCGTTTGTTTAATTCATCACCTGATCATTGTAAAGAACAGAGTGGTAGCTGTAAATCTTCTTTTCTCTCTGCCATGCTGAACTGATAAAACAAAACAAATTTTATCATTAAAATGACCAAATATCAGGAGTCGCAACGACGTTCCAGTTATAAGGTAAATCCTAACAACCTCAATTTCACCATCATGGCAGGCTCTATTATGACTTAAGAAATGAAGACTGTGAATGAAGAACCCCTTTAACACTGCGAGTTCATGACATGATCTGCTGATGCTCTGTTACGTCAGAAAATGGACCTACACGTCGCAATATTACCAAAAATACACAGTGGATCGTAGTCTGCCAGAGCATGTAAGCGACCTTCCCGCAGCTTCTCCAAGAGAAGGATATGCAATTCCGCCTTTTGTTTTCCGACTCCTAATACCATTCTTAATCTACAATCTACGTACGCATGCCAGGTCCAACGGGGAAGACCAATCGATATTAGCGGCGCAAAAAAACAAATATCCCATAACCGACGGAAAGTAAAGTATTCCACTGTAATAATAAAGCGTCTGACCACGTTTGAACTACTTAATCCTAAAACATAGCAGCATGTGTTACATTCCCTCATCTGTGAGATGAGATATTCGCTTTGAGTCTTCAACAAGAATATGTCAAAATATAATTATTTAACATGATGGTCTCAAGAACTGCCAAATTAATCAAATTCGTTACTATTTTTAAAACATGAGCGTGTCGTTCCTGTCGTCGACAAATTACGGTTGGCCAGAGACTACATAAACATAGTGTCACGTATTCTGCTGGATATGTTCATGGGATGCACATGCAATCCTAATACAGTTTTGTCATTAAGCATCACAGTAGAAACGCTAGTTGTATTGAAAGAAACTCGCATAAGTTCACTTAAACCTCAGGACGTAGAAAACAATGATTTACAATCAACCGAATGGCGACACTTAATTTCATTGGTTTTCCACTTCCTTCAATTTTTGAAGCCGTATTTAATCCAATAGATCTCCCAAAGTTTTGAAAAATCCTAAAATGCTATGGGAACCAAATCTCGTCGTTCTAACTTTTAAAGATATGCGTATGGAACCATGACTACTCTCAAAATCCAAGAATAGCAATGGGAAAAGTTAACTTACAATTCACTAGGAACGTGTAGCTTCAAAACTGCATTTCGCTATCCCCATCGACTTTCTTTGAAACAATGCTGACAACAGCTAAGTCGAATGTAGTTCTATAAGGGAAGCGCTGTTCAAAATAAGTGGCTAGATATCTTCTTGACCAAGAGTACACATATGACTGCTTCAACATAATAGCTGCGAAAGCCTGATTTTTCTTTAACGCCTGGAAGTCAAAAATTATGAGGAAGCCATCAGGCACAACTGATTTATAAACAGAACAGGGAGGTGAAGGGCCTCAAATAGTTGATTAGTTTAAGAATCTCGATTGCATCATCTCCAGCGATGGCACCATTCCATCAGAGCCAAACAGCAAAACTGCCCTCGCTTCTAGCAACAGGGTCAATATTAGGACCGACAAACGAGCAGCCTTTCTAGTACACCATTTTGTACCGTATTTCAGACAAGTCAAGACTGCTGCACAGCTTGGGGAAGAAGACGAAAAATACAACAGCTCACAACAGCATTAGACCAGATGCACAACCAATGATTAATGGTAGAACTACATAAGGAATAAGTTTTATTCTCTTCTGGCACAGATGTCGTAATTAAAAAAGGGAGAGACTTAAATAGGAAGGTAATTCTTCTAGATAAACTGGCTGAGCATACAACAACCATACTCCAGCCGGCGAACTTCATGTGTGAAACTAAACACGACAGTCGTCGAACAGAAGACCGCCAAGTAATGTGGACCAGGCAAAGGCAGACGTGCATTCGGAGAGTAAATTCTGTAGGCAGTAACCGGTGCTTAATCGTTAAAGTGCTTAGAATAATGCCAACACAACAAATGAAACGTTCTAACAGTGGAAATGCGCGTTTACAACGTCACTGATTGCCACAATGAGCAACTTCGAGGGAGAATTAATGAAAACATCGTTCACAACTGTACTGTTAACTCCGTGTACCTCTACGGACGAATACATCAAAACGACTATCGAATGTACCAAAACGACCTCCCGATCAGAAGAGAAAACAGTCCGTTGCCATGCCCTTTAAAAAAAGTATTCACCTTTAGTTAAAGCAACTGTTAAAACACACTATAATCGATTCAGTTAGTCGTCAACAAGAACCAGCTTTCTTGGCTGATAAATGCATGGTACAGGGGTCAAAATGTTCCCATGTCAGTCACCATTCACCGATTCTTACTCGCAACCTCTTATTTACTATGCCCAACCTAACCATGCACAAATCAGGATCAAAGTTCTATTTCGGAAACACATACGGGAAAAATTTTTTATGACATGCCGTCAAAATGAAATACTTCCCGTGCGAATTCGAAATGCCAGCTATTAAATGGACATTTCCATCTGTTAAATTTTAAACGATACTCAAACCCACCGAAGAATTAC